TTTTTTTTTTTTTTTTTAGAGACTGGTCTCTCTCTTGCTCTGACTGGTCTCGAATTCCTGCTCAATCCACCTACCTTGGCCTCCTAGAGTGCTAGGATTATAGGCATGAGCCATCACACCTGGCCTACATCTCCAATTTTAAAAGAACCAAGCGTTAAATACTATACTACATATAAAAATCTGCAATCTCAAATCCCCATATAGGTTTCAGGGGATTTTATTCTGTGGTACAAGCTCTTATTGTCAAGAAATATTTAGCTTTGTTAAATGCATTGACTTTTTCTCAGGAAAATGTTCTTGGGATGGGAAACACTGTTAGCTTATAATCATGTTTCATTCCTTTCTTTTTTTTTTCCCACTGAGTCACAGGCACCGCCCTACATTAGAATTTTTAATTGACACATACCATATTTTGCTGTATATAATGGTCTCCTATATATAATGCACATTTATATTTTTGGCCCAGATTTTTTGGGAAAATGACCCTCCAGAAAGTGGCCATGGCGAACATGCTTGGAGCGGGTAGGAGGTTCTGAGGCTGCTCAATCTGCAGGCAGCAAGTCAGGTCCTTGGGGCCTGTGAGAGGCTCCTAGTCCTTACCACGTGGCTGTGTCTCAAGTCTTGGCCCTCACCACACCTGGCTGCAGCCTGCTTCACCAGCCCTGCTACCACTCCCTCCCCTGATCACAGTGCTCAAAGCCCACTCCCACTTGATGTCAGATCTTCCTGGATGGGAGCTTTGTGTACCCAATAGGCCTAGGTCCAGGTGGAAGTGTGTGGTAGCCCCAGGAGACCCACTGAGAGCCTCTGCCCCCAAAACTGTCATACCCACATATAATGTGTATCCTTGTTTTTCCCTCAGAAATTTGGGCAAATTAGTACACATCATGCACAGAAAACTAAGATAATTGTACATATTCGGGGGGTACATAGGCATGTTTTGATATAGAATATGTGTAATGATCAGATCAGGATAATTAGCATATCTGTCATTGCAAATAGTATTTCTTTGTGCTGGGAACATTCAATATCTCCCTTCTAGCTAGGTTTGTAATATATTATCCTTAATTATAATGGTATAGAACACTAAAATTTAATCTTCCCATTTACTATAAGTTCATATCCTTTAACAAATCTCCCTATCCCTCCCGTCTCCCTCACATTCTATTTCTTAATAGAGGTATAGATTTCTAAAATTTCTTATCCAAAACAATTTGCATCCTGCTGGTTTGGCATCCTGCTGGTTTGGCTGGTTAGTCTATGTGGTTCGACAATTAAGTTTGTGAACTTACCCTAGAAGAAGTGCTACATCCCTCATTGCTAAACATCATTGCAGTCACCTTCAAAGTGATCCCTTTGGGAAGCTGTGCACTAATGCCGGCACCTAGTCCACCTTCAAAGCAGTTTTAGAACTCTTTCTGGAATGGCCATCAAGAATTGTCATAGGGCACACAAAAACAAAAATAATGAATGCTACTCATCAGGAGACTGCCACATATTGATACAAACACAGCTGTGAGATGCTGATATACCAGGGTTATGGAACTTTACCAAGTTGTTTGTATAGTGCTGCCAAGCATACAGTGGCAAGTTCATGAACTTAATGACAGCTCAGATGGCCACTTCAGAAAAGAGTTCTGGCTCAGCACCTGTGGCTCAAGTGGCTAAGGCGCCAGCCACATACATACACCTAAGGTGGTGGGTTCAAATCCAGCCCGGGCCCACCAGACAACAATAACAGCTGCAACCAAAAAATAGCCGGGTGTTGTGGCAGGCACCTGTGGTCACAGCTACTTGGGAGGCTGAGGCAGGAGACTCGCTTGAGCCCAGAGTTGGAGGTTGCTGTGAGCTGTGATGTCATAGCACTCTATCCTCCACGGGGATAGCTTGAGGCTCTGTCTCAAAAAAAAAAAAAAGAAAAAGAAAGAAAGAAAAAGAGTTCCAAAATAGCTCTGAAGGGTGGCCTAGGCACTGGCATTAGTGTGTAGCTTCCCAAGGGAAGTACTTTGAAGGTGACCATAGAGATTCAGCAATGAGGTACGTAGCACCTTTTCTAGGATGAGTTCATGAACTTAATTGTCAGAATTTGTGTGTTGTCAGGAATGTTATAGCTCTAATTAAGGGGTCGTCAACTGTCTTTAGAGAATTTAGATAGATTGTTGCAGTTTTAGAATTCCTTTTTAGCATCTTGTATCTGTCCAGGTTGGCTAGGTTGTACTGTGGTTACAAATGCCAGATTTGGGAGGATTAAAGGAGCAAGGATTTATTTCTCGGATGCACTAAAGGTCTGTTGTGAGTTGGCTGTGGGTTTATTCCATGTTATCCTCAATCTGGAACCCAGGCTGATGGAATGGTCCCCTATGGAATTTTGCTACTGAGGAGGGGAGGGAGTGTGGCAATGGCTATGCTTAGAAGTGATGTCACTTCCTTGATGTGGTGTCATGAAAGTCACATGGCCACACCACGTTCAAGTGGGCAGGGAACTGAACAACATGCTTGGAAAGAAATGCTTCAGATCTCCTTGCGTATTCTTGTGTTATCACCATGCTTTGTCCCCTTACATCTTCAGTCTTCCTTCCTTCTGTGTGCATCTTCATGTTGGTCCCTTAACCTTTTGTTTACAGATACAAGCCAGCTACTGGAGCAGCATAACACATCTGATAAGTATCTAATTTGCATGCTCTGTTTGAAAAACTTTTTAGAGTAAGGCAGCGCCTGTGGCTCAAAGGAGTAGGGCGCTGGCCCCATATGCCAGAGGTGGTGGGTTCAAACCCAGCCCCGACCAAAAACTGCAGGAAAAAAAAAAAAAAGAGAGAGAGAGAGAGAGAGAATCTTGTCTTGTGTCCTTGAACGTTACAATAGCACAAAATGGAGACTTTCTGTGTGGAGGCAAGGTGCACATAGGAACTCTCTGTACTTCCACTCTATGTTGCTGTGAACTTGAACTAAAACTGGTCTAAAAAAATAAAGTT